TAACACCGCTGTTATGATGGGACTGCACGATCTGCGTGCTGGTCTGCTGCATCAACCCATGGCGTGCAGTAGAGCATCGTTGCCGCTCATATCTCGACAGCTCGAAACAAGGAGCTACACCATCGACCCCAGCCGATACGGCCGTCCGGCGAGAAATGTGGCGCCGAAGAGCCCCACAGACCAAGTACGACGCATGGGCCAGTGGCACTGCCAGTAGTCGCCATCCACCGCAGAGCGGTACACCTCGATCGAGTAGAAGCGATAGACCAAGCTACGGACACCCAGTCATATGTAGCAGCCAAGGACACTATCGTCCGACGCCTCCATGAACTATATAGCAAACTTGAATAGACGCTTTAGATGAAGTACATTTTTGCCACTAAAAACCAAGTTCCCGCCAACGTCATCATACTTGTGGTCCGCTGGGCGTTGCCACGTATTTGTATCAATTGGCGTCGTAGCGTTACAAATGCAATCCAATAGCCAATGACCTTGCTTCCTGGTGGCCATTTTATCCAATGAGAGGTGTTTATCCGCCCGTTGGCGGTGGCTTTCTTGCAAGAGTCGCAGTCCTTGAACGATCTATGGGTGCTGTGGTTGCAAGACTAGCTCGGTTCCATGTCCTCGTTCTTGTACCTTGCACGAGAGGCAACGTCACAAGAGCGTTCTTTTAGCTCGAGCCGACTCTGCGGAACTGTACGATCGTGATGGGCAGCAAAGTGTCAACTTGCCAGCCGTTTTGAGTGACGGGGATTGGCTGCCGTCTGGCTGGTTTGCGCTGAAGTATCGGGAACTCCGGATACGACAAGCATATCCGGGAGGTACGGCTCGTGGAATAGATGTGGCGCGTATATATATAAATATCCGCTGCCTTTTTTAAATACCACGCTGTTTGTATGTCGAAGCGGAAAAAGACTTTATAATGTCAGTGCGCTCGACAAACTGATACTAAGAACTGACACTTTTTTTTTCATATTATTAATACATTGATAATTCGTCGGTAGCCACAGCATGAGCACAGCGACAAACTCGCCAGCCTCGCCGACGGCGCCCAAGAAGAAGGGCGAGCGCTCTGCATGGACCAAGGAGCAGGTCCATGGCCTTGCTAGCATGCCACGGCGTTGCTCATGCCCTCGTAGGTCGAGGCGCTCAAGCATGCGGTCGCCGAGTTTGAAGCCACGCACCCGGTCGGCGCCGGCCGTGGCAAGTGGAAGGTGCGCCCGTCGCCCATGACGATTGGCGTCGCTGAATCGCGCATGTAGACCATTGCGACCAAGGTGCCCGGCCGTAACGATGCGCAATGTCGGCAGCGATGGGAAGACTCGACCAAAGAAGGGCGCAAGGAAGGGGCATGGACCAGCACCGAAGACAATGCGCTCCGCATGGCGGTGGAAGAAACCAAGCACGTGACGTGGCGGCGCTGGACGATGGTAGCCGAGAGGATTCCGCGGCGAACGTACGCTGGCCTCTTGTGTGTTGCCGATGTGACGGACGTTGCGCGTACGTAGTGCCAAACAGTGCGAGTACCGGTACAAGAACCACCTCGCCCTTAAGAGCGGGCACATGTACACACCTTTTTACCATTCCCGGGAGACCTCATGTGCTGAGATAGGGCGGACTCGCACGGAACCAATGCGCTGAGTTTCATGGCCGAGGTCACCATGGGCCAGAAAAAGCTGCAGCCGTACGGCGACCGAAAGATTTCGCTTGCTGACGACAGTCTCGTCATAGGAATGCGATGATGCCGCCGTACGCTGGGGCGCAAAACAGCTATCTCATGGAGGCACGCGCCATGCCGCCGCAACATCGCTACTACATGCCGGCAGCCATGCCGCCGATCGGCGACGGGAACGTGAAGGAGTCGTTGACGACGGCGATCCAGGCGTTGCAGCCGCTATTGACCAAGACCGTCGTGGCCGCCTATCCCAGTCACATCTTGGACCTCGCCGTGCAGTGCATTGCGGCCTTGCCGGCCGAGACAAGCGCGGTTGTTCGCGAAGTGCAAAAGCTGCGCTACGTTCTTGCCGAGCAAATACCATGCAGAGGGGGTGCGCCATCGATGCCGTATGAACAGCCGTACCCACCGCCAATGGTGCAACCGCTGCCGATCGCGTCCAAGCCCGTAGCGCAACGACCAGGTACGGGCAACCCAGCCGCGTTCACGCCGATCGAAGCCATTGATGCCCGGTACACGACCGTGCCCCACCCGACGCTCCCAGCGGTGACCCCGAACGGGGTCGAAGGCTGGCAGCTTCCACGCCCACCGAAGGATCGGATGCAAGCATTGACCGAAGCTTCCACGACAGTGCCACCCACGCCGCCGGCTCCTACGGACCGGGTCCCGAGCATCGACGGACGTCCAAAGCTGAAGTCCACGAGCCAGCCCGTGACATTTGTAGTGACCGACCAAGTGACAGAGCCGCTACGCACGTCGTCGGAATTGCCGCTCTCGACTCCGGGTAAGAACAACAAGCACGTCGGGCGCCAACCGACGACGTTCACATTTCGCGCATCCGAGTCGACCAACGGCATTCGAGTGATGCCAGCCATCACGCCCGAGTGCCCGACCACATAACCCGACACGACTGCACTTGCTCCCGCCGCCCAGCCCCCGCTCCGCCAGTCGGCGCAAACGAACGGCAGCGACGACAGCCTCGACGACGCCGCCGCGCCTCGGACCCTTTCCGAGCTGTCATTTTGTACGACGACATAAAATACAGACGACATATATGGTGTGGATCGAGCATGCGTATGTTGAAGCACGCAGGACCACGCCCATGGACTTCCACCAACACATTGACGGTGCGAGTCGGAAAGGGAGCGGACAACAAGTGTAAGTGTCTACTGACCTGCTTGAACCTCTGTTTCCGCAGAGACCTTTTGATAATGTCGTGTACATGGAGTCGTTTGAAACACACACACACACTCCTCTGTCCGGTGGACCGACTACTAGAGCCTGCGTTTTTATACATTGTAGTGTAGTTGGACAGAAAAGAAGAGCTGGAGGACCCTTGGGAGAATCGCCATATCGAGTTGGACACTAATTATATCAATAGGCAAATTCTCAGACCCCAGAGGACTAAGCATGTCGCGTGCGACTGTCCATGATGAGTGCCTCGATATCCTGGCGCAGCGCCGCGATGGCTGTCTGCACGGCCACGAGCGCCGGCGACGACTTGGTCTCGAGAGCGATCTGCGCGTTGTTGAGCAGAATTTCGACTTGGTCCAAGAGGTGCGCGAGCGTGAGCTTCAGGTCGGCCGGATCGAAGAAATTCCGCGCGACTTTGGCGTCGAGCTCGCGCAGCTGAGCCGCATACGCCGCGAGCTCGAGCTCCATATCGGTCGTCATGCGGTCGATATCCATGTGTGTGTGCTGCAGCTCGTCGTAGAGCAGCATCAACGTCGTCTTGCGCCGACTCGCAAGCGACGAGACCACCGTCCTGTTCTCATGGTACTTGCCGCGACTTAGCAGCCGCTGGCGCGCCACCGGTACGCCCGTCGCAGCTTCCACTCGCTGCTTGACGCTGGCAATGTCGGCGCCTTGGTCCATTGCAAACGACCAGCGCGCCTTGCCGCGGACAACGTCAACCTGCGTTTGGTTGTCAAGGAGGACAAGGACGGGCGGCGCAGCCGTAGGTGCGATACGCGCGGGCTCCTCTGCCGGCATCGGTGCTGCGGCTGGTGCGCGTGGTGCAGCACTAGGCTGTCCAAGGAGCATGATCTTGGCCGTTGATGGCAGCGTGCTGAGATCTACCGTCGCGCCTGTCTTGAGCTCCTTGCCTCGACAGAGCAGCTTCTGCGCCGTCGCCGGGACATGAAAGAGCGGCTCGATGCGCGCCTTGAGCTCGGCCACGGGCAGCACTGCGTCACTGTCAATCGACAGCTGCGCCGACTGCTTCCCAAAGACGATCGTCACCTGGCGACCCATCGTGCCAAAGCCAAACTGCGACGAGATTGCTCTTTCTCGATATAGTGTTAACTTAACACTATTCATGGATCCTACGTTGGCTCTTGAAGGAACATTTGAGGCGCAAGTTTGAGGTCATAATATTGACATACCGGTACACATCAGCCACGCGGGTGCTCGTCCAGCAAGACTAGCACCGGCGCAGACAGCTGCCTGACAGTGAGAGACGCGTGCAATGCGACGAGGTTCGAGGCGATCGGCGGGGCTGCGTGACCCTCGAAAACCGATTTGAATTCTCTAAAACTTTATTTTTGCTGCCGAGGACGACGCGCGCATCGAGACGGCACCACTCCCAGTGTACTACAACACAGGTCTGGGGATGATGATGGTTGACGCCACAGAGCCGTTGATGGCGGCAATGCAGCCGTAGCTGCGCAAAATGCGGGGGTTGTGAGACATGCCTGATAGCTTGATAGTATACAGGTAGACTGAAACAGAGTCAACTTATGGAATTGAGTTTTTGTATGGACCAGCTGCTTAGCCGAGCTGCCTCGAGCCACTGCTTGCATAGACCCTTGCGGTTGGCTGCCTTCTCCATTACATTTCCGGATACTGAGTCCAAATTTCAAAAACTGCATATTTATATGAGAATCCGGATGATCAAGTTGATTGCAAGCGTTCGCGGCTTGAAAGAAAGGGCGGCATTCTCGAATTGGCCATCGATGAAGACGACCTCGCCTTTGGCGCCATGCGGGAGCCAACGCGCCGCACCGATCCAGGAGCAGGTCATTAGATGTGTGTCAGCGTCGCCCACGGCCCTTGTACTAGGTCGCAGCGCTCGACACCGCCTTCTTCCATTCGAGCGAGTCGCCTTGCATCGGCAACGACCCCGCCGAGTCGTTGACGACGGCGATCCAGGCGTTGCAGCCGCTATTGACCAAGTCCGCCGCGGCCACCTATCCCAGTCACATCTTGGACTTCGCCGTACAGTGCATTGCGGCCTTGCCGGTCGAGACGAGCGCGGTCGTCCGCGAAATCCAAAAGCTGCGCTACGTTCTCCCCGACCAAATGCCATGCAGCATGGTGGCACGATCCGTAATGCATGCACCGCCATCGACGTCGCTGTCGATCGCGTCCAAGCCAGAGGCGCACAACGTTGGCTGGAGCAATGGCGCCAATCCGACGTCTCAAGTGTCGATCAATGGCCAGTACGCAGCCGATGCACACGCGATGACCCCAGAGACGACCAGGAACGTGCGCCCGAAGAGAGACATGGATCAAGCCGCAATGTTTTCAGCCAACAGCCAAGCCCGTCCGACCGAGACGGACCTCCCGCGCTCTTCCGGGAGTGAAAAGCCCGGCTGGGCCCAGCCTGCAACGTTTGGACGCAGCGCCTCCGAGTCGGCCACCGGCATTTGAATCACGCCAACGCTCGCGCCCGAACACGTACTGTAGCTAGACGACACCTTTGCCAATCACCGTCGTCTACCGAGCCATCGCGTTCAATAATAAAACTCGAGCGTCGAGCGGGTCACATAGGTACTACCCTAGTATGTCTATTCTCTGACCCCAGAAGACGAGGCAGGCCGCGTGCGACTGCCCACGATGAGTGCTTCGACACCCGGCGCCGTCGTGGAGGCTTCGTGCACGGCCACTCGAGGGTCATTTGAACGTTGTTAGATAGATAGATAGATAGATAGATAGATACGACATTCTTTGCGTCAATCAACAAAGCAGTAGCTGCAGTTCGACACCGTGCGTGTGATGCGTGCGGCCGCTGTACTAGGTGTCAGGTCAGTACATGTAGTCGTTTGAGTATGGTCAAGTATCATATACTATATAACGTCGATTGGCGATCTTCATCTGAAATAGTGTAATACTGTTTGGTTTCCTTTGCATTAGGCAACTCGATAAGGCGATGACGTGGACGGTGGCGTTGGCCGTTGCTGCGGCCATCACCGCGTCGTGCGCGGGCGACGACAGCCTGCGCTGGGGCACCTACCACTCGGGTCTCTACTTTGGCGTCCGATCGCGGACGCACCCGACGCATGTCAGCGCAGGCCTTCTCTGGACGTCGGCCAATGAAGACGTGAGCCAGCTCAAGCACGAGTGTTCGGAGCGCGACCGGCTCGAGTCGTACGGCTGGACCAAGCACAATGGGCGATCGTTCGGCCAGCAGACGATCCGCGACCGGCTCAACCGCATGGCCATCGAGACGACGTTCCTCAAGCCACCGGCACACGACGGCAGCGTCGCGACGCATTCGTGGGCTTCGCGCATCACTGTCTCGCCTCTGTACGCTGAGAAGGGCCTTCCGGAGCTCGCGTCGCTCTTCTTCTACATCGACGTGGGCTGCGGCGACGACCAGATGGGCCACGCCTGCCGCGACGAGGTGCTCCAGCACCTGCAGTGGACCATCGACGAGCCGTCGTCATGCGTCGAGCCCATGGCATCGAGCGACGTGACGTGCATCGAGCTCAGTGTCCGCGCCGAGCATGCAATAGACGCAACCTTTAACTTTGCGACGCGCGTTCAGGCGCATGTGACAGGCGATGTGCCGAGTTTGCACTTTTGGGGTGACGCCGGCGTCAACGTCGTCAACGTCAAGGACCGTCTCGTGCAACTGGCGGCACGGACGCCCGGAAGCACGGACGCGGCGATCGTCTTGCCCAACGACGTCGACGACGAGAGCTCGATCGTCGTCTTGCAACTGCGCTACGACCCTCGCCGCGCCTCGGACGTTGCGCTGCACATCGTCTACAACGAAGCGACCGACGACGACACGAATGTGCTGCAGTCGACGCCCGTCGTTGTGTACAATGATGTCATTGCCGACTATAGCGCAACGTTTGGACGTCAATTTGAAGACACGTTTGGCCTCGCGGCGAAATCGAGCTCGGCCAAGCACATTGCGCTGGCCGAAGCGGCGTTCAGCAGCCTCATCGGTGGCATTGGCTACTTTTACGGCAGGTAGACATGACAGTATGTTCCATCGTGTACGACATATTGGATATTGTAGCATCTACCTCGAGGACCACGGACGCATCGAGGAGACGGCGCCACGCCCGCTCTTCTCGGCGGTTCCGTCGCGCTCGTTTTTTCCCAGAGGTTTTCTCTGGGACGAGGGTTTTCATCAGCTTGGCATTGTGCACTTTGACATGGACATCAGCATGGAAGTTCTCTCCCATTGGCTGCACACGATGGACGAGGAAGGCTACATGGCCCGCGAGCAGATTCGCGGTATATGATGCGCTTGCATGCGCGCACTTGAAGCTCACACGTCGAGTGTCTAGGGCACTTGGCGCAAAAACGCGTGCCGTCCGAGTTTCTCGTGCAGCATGCGAGTCATGCGAACCCGCCGACGCTCCTCCTCGCGATCGAAAAGCTCGCGCACCTCGAGCGCGCGCGTCCGTGGCTCCTCGCGCATTGGCCCAAGCTCGTCACGTGGTTTCAGTGGTTCCAGACAACGCAGGCAGGCGACGTGAAGCACACGTTTCGATGGCGCGGCCGCCACAACGACGGCCGCCTCATGCCCAACACGCTCGCGTCCGGCTTGGACGACTACCCGCGGGCGTCGTCGCCGTCCACCGACGAGCGCCATGTGGATTTACTGGCGTGGATGGCCAAGGTATTTCTTGCGTTAACGGTACTACTGTTCTCGGTGACTAACGGTATCGTTGGATTGCATTAGGCGGCGTCCGTGCTAGCCGACGTGGCGGCTGCCATCGGCCACGACGGCAGCACCTTCTCGGCGTTGCATGCAACGTACTTGGAGGCACTTGACGCGCACCATTGGTCCAACGGCCTCTACCTCGACTATGGCCTGCATAGTGCGGACGGTCATTTTGAGGACCACATTGTGATTCGGTGTGCGACCGTCGACGGCGCGTACGTCCTTTTATGGATCGTCGTCGTCTCGGCTTCACCGCGTCTTGTGGGGTTAGGGGTATCGATGCAACGGCGTCGGCGCGGCAACTGCAGCGAAGCGACGGCTCGGACGTCTGTCCGGCGTCGCACCCACGGTTCTTGTACCCGCTCGGGGATGGCGCCGGCGGGTTGCTCAAAAAGCAGATTTTTATGCCGAAAACCGTACGTCGACACATATTTATCTGTTTTTTCGAGATGACACTATTGGTGTTGTCTAGTTGCGCCCGCAGTTTGTCGAGCACATTGGCTACGTGTCGTTCTTCCCCGTCTTTCTCAAACTCGTCCCCGTGGACTCGCCCAAGCTGCGCCCGCTTCTTGCAACGCTCGAGACACATCTCTTGACACCGCATGGTCTCCGGTCGCTGTCGCCATCCGACGTCTACTACGCTCGCCCGAACGCGCCGGGCGACGCTCCGTACTGGCGCGGCGCCATCTGGATCAACCTCAACTACCTCGCGCTCGAGAGCTTTTCGTTCTATGCGGCGCATGCGACCGACGCGTCGACACGGGCGGCGTTTGGTGACGTGTACGCCCGGCTCCGAACATCGGTGGTCGACACAATTGCAGCCGAGTACGAGCGCACGGGCTTCTTTCACGAGCAGTACAACGACGTCTCGGGGAAGGGCCAGCGCTGCCATCCGTTCACGGGCTGGACCGCCCTCGTCACCAACATCCTCGCCGAGCGCTATTGAGCCTTCGTCGATAGCACACTGTTGATTGAATTGTTGGAGCTTGTTGCGATACCATCAAATTGACGCCCAAACACCACGTCATGGACATGGTGTCTGATTTGCCAACGACAGCCTGTCCCACGCCGTGCCACAACGCGGCCATCGCATCGCGCCTGTCTCTTCGACGCCTGTGGGCTCTCGACACTGGTGGATGATGCAATTTAGCGCGATGGGCTCGCTTGAGGCCCCTAGTAGAAGCTATGGTTGCAACGCCTGCGTGCTGGAAGTTGAGGCTCGCGCCTTTCTCGAGGAGAAGTTGCAGCGTGTCTGTCACGGCCGCCCAGTGCAACAGCGTGTGACCGTAAAAGCCCGCGTAGCCATACTCACCGAGGCAGTCGGGAATGCCATGTGCATCACCACGACTCTTCGCGACACTTTTGTATTGACGGCAGTTGATGGTCACGGCGGTGGTGCTCGGCGATGGAGCTCCCGTAGCGAAGAGTTGTCGGCTAGAGAATGAATGCTAGCCAAGAGCCTCATAATACACGAGAACATCGATGTCCCTTGGATCCAACGACGCGACGAGTGTCGAGTCTTACATGGCAGTTGCAGTCGGGGACGTGGTCCGACGTGACGCGCTATCCTGGACAAAATTCGATTCCTGCGAGATTTCACTTTCAGAAAATCCCAGCGGACGCGATGGCAGACGACGACCATGTAGGCCGCTCTATCGAGGATGGATGAGGGTCTCATGGCGATGCGTCGTAGAGCCTTCTGGAGCCATGGTACTACATCCGCGCGATGCCCGGCAAGAACATCCGGGCCATCATGGTCGACGCGTTCCAGCTCTGGCTCGCGATTCCGGACGACAAGGTGGCGGCGATCAAGGACATTGTGGGCACGCTCCACGACGCGAGCTTGCTCATCGACGACATTGAAGACAACTCGGAGCTCCGGCGCGGGCAGCCGGTGGCGCATGCCATCTTTGGGATTCCGTCGACGATCAACTGCGCCAACTTTGCCTTCTTCCTCGCGCTCGAGCGCTGCAACGCGCTCGGGAGCCCGCGTGCGATGGAGCTGTACATTCGCGAAATGATCAACCTCCACCGCGGCCAAGGCCAGGACATTTTGTGGCGTGACACGGCATCGTGCCCGACCGAAGACGCGTACAAAGCCATGGTCATCAACAGTACGATGTCTCGCCTTCTGTGGCAAGGATGTGCTAACTCGACGACATGGGTAGAGACAGGCGGCCTCTTCCGCCTCGCCGTCGGTCTCATGCAAGCGTTTAGCGACTGCACCTCGGACTTTATTCCGCTCGTCAACTCGCTTGGCCTGTATTTCCAGATCCGCGACGACTATATCAACCTCGTCGACACCGATTACATGGAGCACAAGAGCTACTGCGAAGACTTGACCGAAGGCAAGTTTTCCTTTCCGCTGCTCTATGGGATCCAGAAGGACCCGAGCGACCACCGGCTCCTGAGCATCCTCAAGCAACGCACGACCAACCGCAGCGTGAAGGAGCACGCTGTCAAGTACCTCGCCGAGACGGGCGCGTTCGAGTACACAAAGGCGTATCTCGAGGCGTTGTACACCGAGATCCTCAGCGAAATTGCTGCTTTGGGTACGTGCGATCCGGATCGTACAGATGGCAGCAGCATGCGAATATGATAGGCGGCAATCCGATGCTCGTTGGCCTTGTCCAGAAGCTCCACGCGACACTGACCTCGGCCTCGTAGCGGGCAGATGCGCCAGCACCCAGCATCATCATCGTCATGCAATAGGACACTCCTTTCTTATTTACACGTTGTTCTTGTCCATGCAACGAATACCTACGACGGCGCAGGACTAAAGAGCGCCCATTGGAGACTTGCCGCCGCAACCTGCTGCGCTACGGATCCGACCACCGTCATGTGTTCCGGTCGCCATGGGGCCGCCGACGGATGCGACGACGTTTGGACGCCGAGATCGAGACGTGGGATCGTAGGTACCGAGACGGGTGGTTGACGATACAAGCGGTAGAGTGCCGTGTGGGCGGCGCTGAAAGCAACTTGGTGGGCGAGCGCGGGGGCAGCGTCCACGTCAGCACGCGCCAAATGATGTTTGGGGGACGCGGTGCACAGCTGGTGCACCGAGGCTTCGAGGTGGTCCAAGTACGTTCCAAGACGGACCTTCCTCGTCGACTTTTCGGATGTCACATTTTCCTCGGGCCTCTCGTCGGAGCTTGCCGACGGCGGACCGTGAGGATGTGTGACGGACGACGTCAAGTCGGTGACTCGGCGAGGCTGCCGTGTCTCTGTCAACGGCGTGCAGAGCACTTGCGTAGGGAGCAGCTTGGTCGCACGGATGTACTCGGTCGCGGCCGTGGGCTCCGCGACGGCGTGGTACGACGGCAGGCGCTGCAGTCGGAGCGCTGGTGGTGGCACGGGTGTCTCGTTTGGAACTGCCACCGAGGTGCCGATGCCGTCCTTTTGTGTTTGGTCGCGCAGAAGATGCTCGACCCCGAGCGCGGCGCAGTCGACGTCGTCCGGCGCAACGACGACCACCGAGAGGTTGGCAGCAGCCACGAGACTCTGAACCTTGTCCATGTCGACGCCGGCGTTGGCCAAAAGGAGCGTCGTGACCGGTGCGAGTCGGTGGTTGAGGGCGTGGTACATGGCCCGACACTGCACGGCGTCAAGGAGGACGTGGACTATCACGTCGTCTCGTCAGTCCACAGCTCCGACGACAATATTGGGGACGCACTGCCATCGAGTGTGAGTGCGTTGGACCGTACGTCAAGGCTCGTGATCGACGGTTCGTGGATAAGTTGTCTATTTGTCGGTATCCTGTAGACCGAAAACACATGGTTCCGTCGTACGTGGCCACGGCGTAGCACCCTGCATCACTCAGCTGCGTGCCGGCCAAGTCGACCGAAACGAGCATGCGCGGCACAAACGTCCGCAGCGCAAACGTGCTCGGAGTCGTCCGCACATTAAACCCAGGAATGCCACCGTTGCGCAATGGCAATCCACGGAAATTCAGGTGGAAATGCGGCAAACCACTCGAATTGCCTTCTAGCCATGCATAGAATCTGCTACGTCCATACAAATAACGTCACAGTACCATCGCACGGCGTTGGCGCGCGGTGGTCGCTGAGCGGCACGGCCCACGTCTTGACGACCGGCAGATGCGGCTGAAACTTGGCATAGTACCGGTTCAAGACCCGCTGGACTTGGCTCTCAACCTGGCGTTGGACCCGGTCCTAAACGAAATCCATCGACATGACATCACAAAAAAGCGTGATCCCACCGTCGCCGACTGCGGTCGTTTGCAGCGGGCTGCCTTTGGAGGCGTCAGCGCTGTCGCCGACTGCGGCCGGTCGAGTTTCGCAAGCGCGCCGACGACCTTGCGCGACGATGTGCGTAGTCGCTCGGTCGTGGGCTTGGGCGGCGATATGTCGGCGTACGCCTAGAGTCTGATGAGGATCCCGCTTTCCATCTCGTACATGGAACGACCATGAGCTCGGACAGGTCAAAGACAGGTGCGGCGGTATGCATCGATGTCGTCCGGTGCAGCGTTCGCAGCTTGGGCATACTCTTGGTCGCCTTGACACTCTCGGGTCGTTGCTTCGGTTTGCATCAAGCGGTCGTATGCGTCGAGTACATGGTTGACAATCATACCTTTTCAATCAGCTCGAACGCACGGAGGAGGTTGAGTTTGTGGTTTTGGATGCGCTCGACCTTGGCTTGGGCCGAGAACGCCGCCGCATAATTCTACACGTCGGAGTATTTCGCCTCGGTTGCGTCGATGTCGTACGTTGACGACGGGCTGTAGTGGTGTCGTTCGGCGTCGGCGCACCGTCGCGTCGCCGGGGGCGTCTGCTACCTGCAAATGTACCTCCTTCTTCTTCTCTACAAGGCAAGAACGACGACGGACAGATGCGACGGACTGGAAAAAAGTACCTCGACACCGCAGCACCTCCGGCTCCCGGCTCTCCATGGCCACGATTCGTTTCAACGCGGTTTCTGCTACTGCCCCCATCGTTTTTATTTGACGATGCACAACTCCAAGGCGGTCAAACAGACTACTACTGTACACCACTGTGAAACCAGCGCTGTCATCGTCGCTGCCGATGCGTCATCCACTGTGTCCATGCGTCTTTACGTCACAGGAACCACTGTGCCTGGTTAGTGGTCTCAGGGCGGCCCATTGAGCAACCTCAGATCTACCACTGCACTTCACTGCCATTCGCAGGTCACAGGTGCTTAATAAAAAATCAAGTTGGCCGCGATAAACTGCGCTTCCTCAACGTTCCTACGCGAAATACCGTAGTGCACTGTATCCATGCCTCCTTGCAGTTGGAAGCAGCAACGCCTCCTCCTTCTCCGTGCAGAGGTACACTGAAAGCTACCGCTGGTGATGATAGGCCTTGTAATGCAGCCACCACTGGCAGTATCTCGCGTCCTGCGAAATTAGTGGGAATATCGCCGCCGATCCATCTCGTCCGCTACCTTTTCTCGGTCACTGCTGCCGCCTTCGGCAGGCTCTCACACGAACAACCAAGGGCTACTCGAGTCGCAAGGTTGCTGGTTCTAACCGCGGTTATCCAAAGGCAACCCAAATTGGCGCTGAAACCGGCAGCGACAAACCTCTATAATGAAATGCTAGTATCTATATTTAAACCTACAGGTTTCTAAATCCAGCCACCATACAAATGCCGAGTGTTTTTATTGCAAAACGAAATAAATTGACAGGCGCCGCGGTATACAAACACCAAGCTTCCTGCCACCTGGCGAGATCCCGCCCGGCGAGGTGTCATTTTCGCCTCGACCGTCGCCCATGCTGCGCCTCCTCCGGCTTGCCGTCGTCGCCGCCGGCGTCTCGGCCGCCGTACGCAGCAGCATGATGCACCCGTGGCCGCTCCTGCACCGGCGCCTCCAGGAGTCCTCGGGTCTCATCGGCAACGCCTGTCGCGACACGACCGACTGCCCTGGTGGCAGCGTCTGCATCGCCGGCAGCGCGACGACGTCGATCCAGTCGTGCGTCCAGACGCCGGGCTGCGGCGGCAACGTCGCCGGTAACTGCCCGGGCCTCCTCTCGACGGGACAGCTCGTGTGCGCATGGAGCCCCGTGAACGCGTCGCAGTGCTCGGACTTTCAAAACTCGTGCGCGGCCTTCAACGGCCAATCCGGCATCTACATGTGCATGTCCCTCGACCGTTGCGATGCGATCAACGGCAACAAGGGTGTGTGCAGCAGCGGATGCAAGTCGTCGAACGGCCTCATCTGCAACGGACGCGGCGGGTGCCAGACCAAGAACGGCGCGTCGTACATGTGCGAGTGCAACGATGGCTGGGACGGGCCCGCGTGCGAAAAGGTCGTCAACAGCAGCTGTCAAGCTGGCGTCGGCAGCTGCGGCCAGTTTGGCCAGTGCATCGATGGCGCGTGCACGTGCATCAAGGGTTACAGCGGTCAGCAGTGCGAGCTCTCGCCCAATGCTACGACGAGCCCGTCGGTCGTGACGCTGCCAACTCCCACCTCGGATAGCGCAAGCAGCAGCAGCAAAGCGACGGCGGGCGGCAGCAGCAGCCCTGCCAACACTTCGTGGTGGTGGATCCTGCTCGTCGTCGTCGTCGCCCTTGCCTTTGTGCTCATCGTCGCCTTCTTTGTTCGGAAGAAGATGCAGCAGCGCGAAGCCGACCGCGCTCGGACCGAAGTCGGCGAGCTCATGGAAGGCGACCTTGACGACGGCGTCCAGACGCCGAAGGGCATGATTCAGACCTTATAATGGACGCGCCTCCCTGGGAATAGATGTACATGTGCCATCCCATATACCCGCATGGCACCAGGTAGAACACCGACTGGGCGGTATGTTATGTCGCGTCGTTGCATCAAGAAGATCGACCGAGATTTTGCGGAACTGATGTAGCGCGTGGGTCATCAAGCTGCGTGCTGGGCCAGCACGCCGCTGTGTGAAGCGTAGCTGATCCGCGTCGCTGGCGCTGGCCCACCCCGCCTTCATGTCCACCGCACCAGCTGGAGATGTCAATGAATCGGAGGGCCTCCTGTCGGGCGACGGCAGCGGCGCGAGTTTAGCCCACGCATCCGCAGCAGCTCCATGTCCTTGGCCATGGGTCATTGGGCTCGTAGCCCGATCACCATGGTCTCGGTCCGCCCGTCATCGTCGTCCGCCGCGCTGCTGTCGGGTTGTTCCGCCTGGATTCCCACCACGTGGTGCGCGTCGCACTTGCGAAATTGAATGTTCGATTTTATTTGCATACAGTTTTCAAGGGTTTTGAATATTTCGCAAAAGATTCGCCAAATTAATTGGGACAAACGTTTGGGAAAAACCGGGCGGTGCCCTCATTTTCGAAATGCGACGGCTGCATCCTGCCGTGCTGCTACTGCTGCTCGCCACCGTCGCCGCCATCGACGTCCCGTGCAATGGCACCGGCGCATGCCCACCGGGCTCGAGCTGCGTCGCCGGTGAGTCGAACGTTGCTGTGCAGTCGTGCGTCGTTGACTCGGTCTGTGGCGGCAATTTGGCGGGCAACTGCCCTCGCCTACCACACGCCGGCCCGCTCGTGTGCGCCTGGAGCCGCCAGCCACCAGAGGCATGCGCCTTTGGCAACTGCCAGACGTACGGCGAACACGCGGGTATCTTCAAGTGCATGGACATGACGCGCTGCGACGACCTCGTCGGCTCGGGCGCCTGCTCGACGGGCTGCGCCGTGCAAGGCAAGCCGTGTAATGGCCGGGGCACGTGTCATTCGACGGGCGCAACCAACTTTGCCTGCACGTGCGACCACGGATGGAGCGGCGCGCGCTGCGAGCTCGCGGTGTCGGACGCATGTCTTCTCGGGCAGTGCGGGGACCACGGGAGGTGCACCGACGGCCACTGCGTCTGCATCGATGGGTACGCTGGCGTGCAATGCAAACAAGCGCCTGCCACTAGCGCGACACCAACGACGGACCGTCCGACGCCATCGACGACGGCAACGTCCACACCGACAACATCATCGACGAGCACGGCGCCGGTACCGTCGACGTCGGGCGTTGATCATCCCACGTCATCAACATCGCCACCAACGTCGAATACACCGACGCAATCTACCGACCCAAACGACATGCAAACGACGGCGCCGACGAAGGACGGGTCGACGATCAAATGGAACGCCGGCGACCACAACCGCGTCGATAAGACGCAGCCGATGCCCGTGGCCGTCATGATCGTCGCCATCGTGGCAGCCCTCATAGTCATTGGGATGATCATCTTTGGCGTGTACGCTCGTAAGAAGAAACTGCGCGCCGCAAACGCCGAGATCGAGCGCTCGACACTGCAGACGCAAGACTCGGTCATGACCGAAGGCGGCACCACGCCCCGAGACCAGATCCAAGTGCTCTAGTTTAATTATCGTAACCTCAGTTTGTCTTGTAATATCACTTCCGCACTCTTGGTGATCGACGCCAAGGGCCAGTGCTGCAGTCACGTGGCATGATCACGTCCGAGCCACCGCAAGCGACGAGCCGACGCCTCGGCGTGTGTCCATCGCGGTGTCCGGATCAAGACACGGAAGGTTTCGCCTCATGCTACTCGAAGCACCGACGCCGACGACGCCGACGGTCGTGGGCGACGGCGCGGTCGCGCACGACGACATGATCTTTCTCATTCTCGTATGTAGCGACACGCTACTACCGCTCTAAAACAGTTGCGTAGCACTACCTGGAGAGCACAGGCTTGTTTGCAGCCACGGTGGCACTCCTCCTCGAGTCGGGCCTGGACCATCGATGGCTCTGTGGGCCGAGCCGCGCCATGGCCCAGCTCCGTGTCTACCTTCTGCGTGGCGAGTTTGCACTTGCCTTGGCGCTCCTCGAGCCGCTGCAGACGCAGGCGCCGACCTCGTACGCTCGCGTGCGCGACCATATCTGCGCCCACGCCTTTCTCGAAGCCTGCGCCGACGCGGCACCGGTACTCGCGAGCTCGTCCTCGGCACTATCCACCGCATGCATAGATACCGTCGCGGCTTGTGTGGCTTCAATCTCTGACAAAGGCACACGCCGAGTATCGTCTGTTCGAGACACTGGCGTTTGCAACGACGCCGACGGTGCACCCGACGCTCGCGTTGTGGAACACGGCACAGCGCCGGCTGCAGTGCTACGCCGAGATCCTTGCCGACGTCCGGGAGCTACCGGACGACAACGATGGCGTGGCGCGGTACATAGCGATGCCACCGATGCAGCTGCGTACGCTCGTGGGCCAGGCGCTGCGTTATCAGGTCGGATCATCTTCGAGGCTCGTCCAATTGCTGTACTGGGACGTGTAGGCCCGCGAGAGCAACCAAGACGACACACCACTGGACTGCCTCCGACCGGACGCGATGCCGTTGCCGGTGCCGACGCAACACCTGCTTCACTTAGCATCGACGTCGTCCGTCGATGACAAGAAAACGACGGCTGTCACCGCCTCGATGGTACTGCCGCCGAAACGACCGTGGACGACCACCGCACCACAGAACAACGTGGCGTGCCAGACGACGAGCTCCCTGGTGCGAGCCAGTGATGTTGGCTTGCAGACGTCGGTCGCCGTCGATACGATGGGCGTGCAGACAACGGTCGTCGTCGCTACACTGGGTGTGCAGACGCTAGCGACGCCGCTTGCGTCCGCGTTAGTACAAACACATAGCATCGACTGCTCGACGACGAGCGCGCAGACGGAGCCGCGAACCGAGGATGCGAGCTCGCATTTTGGTATACAAACCGACGTGGCCGAGATCGCGCACACCGAGTCGCAGACGCCGCCGACGTCAACGCAAGACGTCGGCCACCAGACGGCACTACGCACGCTGTCGACCGACGCCGAAGTGCAGACAACGATGTCGACGACACTGTGCGACGCGTTTATGCAAACGACCGCACTCTCTCCCAGTGCGCCCTCCGTCATCCCACTCGTACTCCCGACGCCAACCGCCGAGCCGACGCTACTTCACCACCCGCCGCCACCGGCGTCCACGGATTTTATACGGCTGTCCATGGTACCCTCCAGAGAATCGCTGTGTACATCGCAGCATTTGATGCGCGTAGACTGCACCGCCGCCCGTCGCGCCGACAACGCTCGGTCGGCGCAACGATATGGTTCGACTCTCGGACGGATTAGCACACCTCAGTCGCCAGACCGGTGCGTTACCACAAGCACCCCCGACGCTGCCAAAACCGAAGAGTCCGGTCTTCCTTTCGACGACGTCGTTCTCAACGCATCGATCGTCCGTGCCGACTGAACGCTCGGCAAAACCTTCAGCGTACGACCAGGTGCCGAGCCCGGCGACGGCGGTCGTCGTTGCCGAGACGCGCGAGGCACAGGTACCAGCAGCTTTAAAGCTAAATGCGGGATCCACGCCCAGCGTAGGCGGTCCGAGCGCTGCAAGTGAGCCACCACGGCAAGTACCTCTTGGTCGGTACGAACGCGCGGGCCGTGCGCGTCCTCAACGTCCGTGATGCTCTGGCGGGGCCTCGAGACGCCGTCGCCGGCGCGGCGCTGGCACTGTTGCCGGTAACGATCCACGGGTGCAGCGAGTAGGGTTCAAAACAGAGTAGGTCGTGAGTGAGCACTACAAGCACCACAGTGGCCCGATTTACTGCGCCGCGTGGAACCGCACCGATACGCTTGTGGCCACCGGTGCGTTGCCCGTCGACGACGAATACGACGGCGTTCACTAGGCTCGACCGACGGCATCATTCATCTCGCTCGCCCGTTCCAGCTCGACAAGGTGGCGACGGCGCTGTATGAACACTCGGACGTTGGGCCCGCAACCGACAAAACTAAAGTCCGGGCGCTCGTCTTTGCACCCACCTCCGGTAGCCACTGGCTATCAACTCTGCAGTGGCGACGCCGTCGGCATGTAGATGGGTCGCTCGCGTCCATCGGTGGGTATGAAGACAACGTCGTCCGCGTCCGGGACGTGCCGACGGCGTCGGTGGCCATGCACTTACCTGGCCATGCCCAAGACCTTCTCTCGGTACGTGGTTGACTTCGACGCTATCAAGAGTCAAGCCACTACGTTATAGATGCAATACCACGCGACAGAGCCCCACTTGCTCCTCTCGTCGGCCCACGACCGAACACTGCGCACGTGGGATCTGCGCACCGGGTGCTGTACCAGCGTGATCCAGCTGCCGTCGCCCGCCATTTCCATGTCGTGCCACCCCGTGTCCGGTACCGACTCGAGTGCGACGGAATCCCACCGACCGTTGTACACACGCGTAGGCTGTGTTGTGGCGTCGGCGCACGACGACGGCACCGTTGCTCTCTGGGACGTCCGGTCGCACCGACGCCCGACGCACTCGCAACGGCGTCTGACCACATCGTCCGGGTGCCGCCCGATCCTGTCGTTCTCGCCCCACGGCGCCTGGCTCCTCCTCGGCGGCTTTGACGGCTCGCTTCGGTGTTGAATAGCAACCTTGACGCCGTAGCCGACTACACGGCAGCGGTGCGCGACAGTGTTGTGCAGGCGGTATGGCACACGACGCTCCCGGCGTTCGTCACGTCCGGCGCCTCCAAGACCGTGAAGCTCTGGGCGCTGTAGCCTTTTGTACAATAATTGTAGCGTCGAAACGAATCGGAGCACAACTTTCCGAGCTGCCGTGGTGGTCAACGTCGGCTGGGAAAACTAGTTGAGTACGTCAGCAATGGGCAACCAACCCCGAGTAGCAACCAAACATGCAACCTCCGTCCTTTTCAATCCGCAGCGAGTCGACCTACAAAGTAGCGCGGGCATTTGTAGCTACGGCTAATCACTGCAAAGGGTTGTGCAGCCCAACGTCGACATGCATGTCCAGTAGTACGACGTGCAAGGCAAAGGCGCACACGCATCGCCTTGTCCCGACCTAGCGCTATGGACGATGTCGAGGTTCACATCCAGTGTCCTGCCAAGCAGACGGTCCACCAAAACGACCCCGTGGGCGCAACGACGCGAGTAGTACAGCGTATGGGTGGGCGGTGGATGCCGTGGCACCACCGATGAGTAGTGCGCGTTGATCGCCATACGCACCGCTCGTCGCCTCGAACTCTGTACCATCGCCGAGCTTGTCGAGCGTGGGCAAGACACGTCAACTTGAAGAAGACAGGATGGAAGGACACGGTCGCAAAAGCATTCGATTGACGCACGCCGGCTCCATGTCGACATGGCGAGGACCTGTTTGTCTAGTACCACGACTCGTACCACGGGTTCTTGAACGCATACGCCGAGACCATTTGGCGGTAGGCGACGAGGAACATGGCGAGGCAGAGGCCGAGCGCGAGGTAGCGCAGCGTCGTGTTCTTGATCGCGACCGCCGACTGCGACATGAGGATGACGCTGAGCGCCGCCACAATGTCGTAGCCGCCGACGATGAGGCCTTCGACAACAAACTGCTGGCGGCCCTGCGGGTGGAAGAACGTGATTTTGCCGTTGCGCTCCTGCGAGAACGCCGGCGGCTCGCGGATGATGCAGTAGACCATACCCGAGACCGAGAGGCCGTAAAAGAGCTAGCCAACGACGAAGATGAGAGATTTGAAGGCAGCAAGAGCAACAACGTACGAACGAGATGGCGAGCCAGACGCGCTTGCGGCGGAGGCGGTTGAGGACCATGTCCAAGTTGGACCAGACCGAGTGCGCAATCACGCCGAGCACAACGAGGACGCCAAAGAGCACGGCGTACGCAAGCGCCTTGGAGCGAAGCACGGGCGCGTCGACGCCCGTCTTTTCCTTGACGTAGCTCATCATGGACTCGGCCGACTTGCCCTGCGTGTAGACGCTAAAGATCTGGTTCGCGGGCAGCTCAATCTTGGTCGGGAGCTTCTTCCCCGTGTCTTCCGTGCGGTCGGGCCCGACGTACACGAGCTGCGGCGCCGACGTAAAGCCATGCTACCAATGTCAGTCCCATGAGCATTGTCGTCGTCACAGCCATTGGCGACGTACGATGCCATACGCGCCTTGGTTGGCGTCAAAGTCGACGACGCCAAAGAAGATGTCAAAGCCATCACGGCCCTTCTCGCCCGTCGCAAGCACCGACTCGGCGAGGACCGTAAATTCGGGATGCACTTGCCTACGGGGCAGGATGAGCGCCTGTCGCTGCGTATGCATGAAAGTACGTACTGGCAGACTTCGCACGCGTACTTCTCGCCAAGCGCCGTGAAGAGCAGGAAGAGATGGTACGGGCGCTCGGGCGCGACAGCCACCTCCGTGTAGAGATCCGTGTCAAAGGTCACGACGCCGTCGCGGACGCGGCCCTTAAGGCCACGCAGCTTCTCGACGCCCGAAGCGTAGTCATTGCGCGCCGATCGTCCGGCGGCGACGCAGAGGATGGCAGCGACTAGCGCGAGGAAGAGCGCTCGCATGCTTGATACGCGTTGCAAGCAAGTCTTCGTTCTGACCGCAGAGGCTCAAAACCTCTTTGTTTCGATATATAACCTCTCGGTTTCGATGTGCATACGTGGCACCGTCGCCAGGCCACCACGCACTGTACGCGCCGCATCGGCGCCAGCCTTCAAGCACTGCACGTCGAGCGCATAGCAGCAGTCTCTTGGCGCACCGACGCAAATCACCGGCGATGGCCCGCCTTTCCCGCCCGATCCGGCCGGCTCGCTGCTACCTTCCGGCTGCTCGTTGGCTCTCTTCGTGCGGCCGGTACTAGTCGACCGAGAGCAGCCTCCTGAAGCGACATGCTGAAGGCCACAGCGCTCAGATCGGTGCTACCATGAGGCCATGGTCGATGCCACAACGTTGCGCTTCGATCTCTCCAGGCTTGTCATCGTACGGATAATGTCCGGATACCACATATCTCCGCAAGTGCAACATGAACTACGGCGAGGCTGTCGCGCTGGTCGAGGCGGCGGTCGCGGCCGAGGACCGCGGGCTCTACGAGCGGGCGACGGAAGAGTACTTTGTCGCTGCGAGTGCGATGGCTGCGGCGGCGCTGACGGAGCCGTCGCCCAAGATCCAGCAGCTGCTCGCGCTAAAGGCGCAGCAGGTCGAGCGGTGGGGAGTCGCCCTTGCGGCGTGGCTCGCTGACGGTCAGCGCGGGCCCAAGCCCATGCGCATGTAGTACGAACAATATACGAACTCTTTGCTTCGATGCGTTGTGTTCGTTTTCGAGCGATAGAACGAATGGTGCCAACCTTCGCCAGGCTTTCTGCAGATATCTATTGTTCCACAAGGCGCTACGGACGCACACTTTCTCGACAAACCACTTTACATTTGCCTCTGCAAGATAAACATGAAGACAAGTACCGTGCTCCTCCTCATGGCGCTGGCTGCGTCGGCGTCGGCGACGCTCCGTGGTGCCTCGTACATGCTCATTGAGGAGAACGACGCGCCCGTGTTCCTCGAGCAGTATGAAGCGTACGAAGCGACGCACAAGCATCCGAGCAAGAAGCCCGCGGCGTCGTACAGCAAGCCATCGACCAAGCCGCATGGGAATTCGAAGCCGTCGACGGAGCACACGCAGAAAGAACCCTACATCCTTGTGTCCGAGGACATGAACTACGCCGACATCGGTCGCGCGGTGCTTGACGCCATGCGCGACGACGCGGCAGCCTACCCGCCTCCGTCCCAGTCGTACGACCAGCCACCGGCCTCCAAACCGTCGTACCAGCAGCCGCCGCCGTCGTACCAGCAACCGCCGCCGAAGAAGAAGCATTCGTACCAGCGCCCGTCGTCGTACAAGAAGCCGCCACCGACATACTTGAAGCCGTCCTCGCCGTACCTAAAGGTGTCGGCGTCGTACAACCAACCGAAGTCGTCGTCTGATGTGGAGCCTCGTCCGTCCCATGACGGTCCCAACAAGGCACCCAAGGGCAAGTACGTTATCCTCGTCTCGGACGGTGCCGAGAACACGGAGAAGGTCGACGATTCCACGTACGACGATGTGGCAGACGACGGCGACGTGTTTCTTGACATGGTGGACGCTGAAGCTGACATGGACGCCCACAAGAAGAAGAAGAACAAAACCAAGAAGACGACCAAGTACAACCTCATGGACGTTCGCTTCGTGGCTTTGGCCGACGTCGACGGTGTCACGGAGCGCGATCTCGCGAGTAACACGGTCATGGACGACGGCGACTATCTGATTGCGCTCAACCAGCACGCCGCCGACGACGACGACGCCGTGTTTCTCGCAGACGACACGCCAGCCGTCGGTGTCCCTAACCCCGGCTTCAAGACGGAGAAGAAGAAGACTAACTTCTTTGGCAACGACAAGACGCTGTTGACGGACGAGACGCTTGATGACGTTATCCGCGACGCCGAGAGCGTTTTCATTGCGGACCGGAAGCGCGTGCCGCAGCACTACCACTTTAAGAAGGCGCGCGTCCTGGGCGCAGTCGACGACGGTGGCGACGACGACACGAGTGGTTTAAACATCATGGACCGGCGGCCGACGCACTTGTTGACGCCGTCGTCGGGCAGTGCGTTCAACAAGAACTCGGGTGTGCAGACGTTCTTCTTGCGCTCCGTGCCCGAAGACGACGTCAACGACGACGAGGTCAACGGCGGCGGCGACGACGACGACGATACCAGTTACATTCTCACGAATCCGTGGGAAGACACTGGCAACTAAGCACATCGTTGCCACAGTGCTTTTTCTATTCACACAAAAATTTAGTTGCTTTTGAATTGTATTGACCGTTTCTGACGATGTCGACGCGACTGAACGGCGCGCCTTCTGCTTTGTTCGAGTAATGTATGTGAGGGTGTGGTGTTAATCGGTGTCACGATCGGAGTTCCGGCGAGTCGGGAATTTCTGCGTTTTTCCAGCCGTTCCG